TAAATATTTAACTCTAATGATGGGGAAAGGGTCATCTATATTTTGCTAGACTCAGTTTTGTATTTTTCTTGTAACAGGGCTTTTCATATATATACTTAATACTGATTGGTGGGTTAATTAGTTAGCTGACTAGCTAATTGAATAGTTCCACAGTCCAGCAGATGAGGAGTAAAAGTCTGCATGGATTCCAGTTGGAGATTTCTGCAAGCAAGAGGAGAGATATTGTTGCAGTGCTTTTGACACAGCAGACTGTACAGAGTTGGTGAATAAAGACTAATTTGGGGGGAACTCAATCTAATATATTAGAGGGATAAATACCAGAAAGGGAGAGGAATTATTTAAGCTCAGTACCAATGTGGACACAAGAACAAATGAATATAAACTGGTTTCAGAGTAACAGCCGTGTTAGTCTGTATTCGCAAAAAGAAAAGGAGTACTTGTGGCACCTTAAAGACTAACCAATTTGTTTGAGCATAAGCTTTCGTGAGCTACAGCTCACTTCATGGCGATGAAGTGAGCTGTAGCTCACGAAAGCTTATGCTCAAATAAATTGGTTAGTCTCTAAGGTGCCACAAGTACTCCTTTTCTTTTTGTGGATATAAACTGGCCACCAGGAAGTTTAGACTTGAAATTAGACGAAGGTTTCTAACCACCAGAGGAGTGAAGTTTTGGAATAACCTTCCAAGGGAAGCAGTGGGGGGAAAACTTCTATCTGGCTTTAAGATTAAACTCGATAAGTTTATGGAGGAGATGGTATGATGGGATAACATGGTTTTGGTAATTAAATATTCATGGTAAATAGGCCCAATGGCCTGTGATGGGATATTAGATGGGATGGGATCTGAGTTACCCAGGAAAGAATTTTCTGTAGTATCTGGCTGGTGAATCTTGCCCATATGCTCAGGGTTTAGCTGATCGCCATATTTGGGGTCGGGAAGGAATTTTCCTCCAGGGCAGATTGGAAGAGGCCCTGGAGATTTTTCGCCTTCCTCTGGAGCATGGGGCATGGGTCACTTGCTGGAGGATTCTCTGCTCCTTGAAGTCTTTAAACCACTTCAATAGCTCAGACATAGGTGAGAGGTTTTTTGCAGGAGTGGTGGGTGAAATTCTGTGGCTTGCGTTGTGCAGGAGGTCAGACTAGATGATCATAATGGTCCCTTCTGACCTAAATATCTATGAATCTATGAAACTTCTCATGGCTGGTTATGTTGGCAGGTATTCTATGAAACACTTTTTCCTATGGTTTCCATGTAATTGTTCCAGTCAGTCTTCATATAGTTCCAGTGCATCTTTCGTAGTGATGCAATTAGGGAGACTTGCAGACTAACATGTAAGATGACAGAACAGTGTTGGCTATGCAAAAAAGTGTTGAGGGCAGTTAGTTCTGCCATTAGGGGCCATGCACTCTGGTCACAGAACACAAAGCACAAGTCTGGCATATAGTCTTTTCTCGATCGTGCAGAATGGAAGACTCCTAGCTGCTTAGAATCAAACAGGAGGCACTTGTCTTGATTCAAGGCCCATTCAAGAAGTTGTTCACCTGCAGTATTGTTGTCATCATATCCCCAGGACATATGATGGCTATTGAAGTCTCTGACCCATTTTATTGAAAGGCGGCTGTGATGTGGAAGACAGCAGAGGAAATTTAAACAGCCCTTGGATCGTGTGGACTGAAGGTATACACCACTGACTTCCTGAGGAAACTACAATCCATTGTAAACACCATCCTGGCCACTATGGATGTAGAAGCCCTCTACACCAACATTCCACACAAAGATGGACTACAAGCCGTCAGGAACAGTATCCCCGATAATGTCACGGCAAACCTGGTGGCTGAACTTTGTGACTTTGTCCTCACCCATAACTATTTCACCTTTGGGGACAATGTATACCTTCAAATCAGCGGCACTGCTATGGGTACCCGCATGGCCCCACAGTATGCCAACATTTTTATGGCTGACTTAGAACAACGCTTCCTCAGCTCTCGTCCCCTAATGCCCCTACTCTACTTGCGCTATATTGATGACCTCTTCATCATCTGGACCCATGGAAAAGAAGTCCTTGAGGAATTCCACCATGATTTCAACAATTTCCATCCCACCATCAACCTCAGCCTGGACCAGTCCACACAAGAGATCCACTTCCTGGACACTACGGTGCTAATAAGCAATGGTCACATAAACACCACCCTATACTGGAAACCTACCGACCGCTATTCCTACCTACATACCTCCAGCTTTCATCTAGACCACACCACACAATCCATTGTCTACAGCCAAGCCCTACGATACAACCGCATTTGCTCCAACCTCTCAGACAGAGACAAACACCTACAAGATCTCTATCAAGCATTCTTACAACTACAATACCCACCTGCTGAAGTGAAGAAACAGATTGACAGAGCCAGAAGAGTACCCAGAAGTCACCTACTACAGGACAGGCCCAACAAAGAAAATAACAGAACGCCACTAGCCATCACCTTCAGCCCCCAACTAAAACCTCTCCAACACATCATCAAGGATTTACAACCTATCTGAAGGACGACCCATCACTCTCACAGACATTGGGAGACAGGCCAGTCCTTGCTTACAGACAGCCCCCCAACCTGAAGCAAAATACTCACCAGAAACCACACACCACACAACAGAACCACTAACCCAGGAACCTATCCTTGCAACAAAGCCCGTTGCCAACTGTGTCCACATATCTATTCAGGGGACACCATCATAGGGCCTAATCACATAAGCCACACTATCAGAGGCTCGTTCACCTGCACATCCACCAATGTGATATATGCCATCATGTGCCAGCAATGCCCCTCTGCCATGTACATTGGTCAAACTGGACAGTCTCTACGTAAAAGAATAAATGGACACAAATCAGATGTCAAGAATTATAGCATTCAAAAACCAGTTGGAGAACACTTCATTCTCTTTGGTCACTCGATTACAGACCTAAAAGTGGCAATTCTTCAACAAAAAAACTTCAAAACCAGACTCCAATGAGAGACTGCTGAATTGGAATTAATTTGCAAACTGGATACAATTAACTTAGGCTTGAATAGAGACTGGGAGTGGATGGGTCATTACACAAAGTAAACTATTTCCCCATGTTTATTCCCCCCCCTCCACCCCCCACTGTTCCTCAGATGTTCTTGTCAACTGCTGGAAATGGCCCACCTTGATTATCACCTCAAAAGGTCATCCCCGTCCTCCTCCACCCCCCCACCCCCGCTGGTAATAGCTCATCATAAGTGATCACTCTCGTTACAGTGTGTATGGCAACACCCATTGTTTCATGTTCTCTGTGTATATACATCTCCCCACTGTATTTTCCACTGAATGCATCCGATGAAGTGAGCTGTAGCTCATGAAAGCTCAAATGCTCAAATAAATATGTTAGTCTCTAAGGTGCCACAAGTACTCCTTTTCTTTTTGCGAATACAGACAAACACGGCTGCTACTCTGAAACCTGTATTCCCCATGTATGGTCCAGCAAGTGTCAGAAGCCCAGATGCTGGCAGTACATCTTAGTGGTTAGAAACAGAGTGGGAGAGGGCCAGGAGCAGGAGTCAAGAACCAGAACCAAAGGTCAGAGCTGGAGTCAGAAACCAGAGCCAGAGTCAGGAGCTTGTTAGCATGTAGGTTCTTTTATTTTTAATATGTTTTCTCTGTAATGATTTCTACCTTAAGAATAAAATAGGCTTGCTTAGAAAGAACCGTGTGGTATCTTATACCTGTAGCACTCTGTTATCAGACTGATGAGAAAGCAAGCAAGTCTGTTTAGCAGACTGTCTTTGCTATGAGTAACACAATGAAAGCAGGGAACTCTTCCATCTGGGACACACCCTGATCAGAAGGGAATGAGACACAGGTCTCCCTGCCAGGAGAGGCAACTGCAGGGGAGCCAGAAGCCTAAGATTGAGTGTCCTTGCTGGACCACTGAGGGGAAATACAGGAGAAGTTGCCCTGAACTGTGACATATCTGGAGCTCCAAATTTGGGTAGTTTAGTGAGAAGAAGGCCACTGCTCAGCCAGTTCATCCTGGTGTCCATCTACTACTACTTCTAATTCATCCTGAGGACCTTTTATGAACTCTTCACAGTCCCTTTAGCAGAGCTTCTTAGCTTAATTTCCAGTTGGCACTCCCTCTCTCTCAGCATATTGGAACTCCAATCACTTACATCCGTCCCTGGAGTGAGTCCCTAGTCATACCCTGAACATGGTGCTGCCCAGTGTTGCCAACACTCTTGTGATATTTAGTGTGTGATGCCCTCCAGACAACAGATTAGATGAGAGCTACAGCATCCATTTTGTCAAGCCTCTTCTCCTTCCTTTCTCCTCTTCCCCCCACCCTCCCTTACTCTGGGGGAAAAACATGGAGAATGTAATAGGAAGATGGGCAAGTCTCTACCAACTCCTACACATGATTTTTAAATGTGTGGGGTTCACTGGATCGCTAATACCTGGAAGCTCCCACCCTACACTGTAGTCTGGAAGCATGTATGGCAAGTTAATGACAGAAAGGTAGGAAGGTGCCATTTTGATTTATAAAAAATAATGTCAGTGACAGGTTTCAGAGTAGCAGCCCTGGGCCACCCGTACTCCTGTTCATAATGTCAATGGTGTCTCCCTCTGCAGCATGGCGGGAGGGCCTCACTGCTCCCCTTACAGGTCCTCCGGTTGGTGGAAATTTCCTCCCACAAAGGTCCAAACGAGGCGAACCCGGAGCAGTGATGTAGCTATAGACTCAAGAAACTGTCTAAAACTCAACTTTTTCAACTGTACACGGTGCTTATATCAAAAAGAGGCTGATCTCTGGTCATCCTCGGGAAGTCAGCCTGGGCAGCGGGGCTGAAAACACTCATTCATTAAACTCGTCATCAGCGCCGTCTCGCCGCCGCCCGGGTCACCACTGCGCCAGAGCCATTGTCACACTGATCCTAGTCCGTGCTGCGCTCCGCAAATGTCGGCACTGGCTACAGCAGGGAGCCGTTTTACACAATAGCCGGTTCTTACAACCCGTGACGGATCGGTAACTGCTAGCTGTAGCACATTCCTACCGGGAGCAATTTAATACACTACCCCGGCCAGACATTTGCAGGGTGCCCTACTGGTGCAATCCGCCCTAGGATGCAAGCTCCCCAAGGGAGGGCAGGATCCTACCCCCCCGTGTGTGACGAGCTCCAGGCCCAGCTGAAGGGATGGCTAAATAATAACGATCGATGGACCCGCCCCATTTCCAGCCTTACAACCCTCCCGTCGCCACCCAGTTCCTCTGTGTGAGCTCCCAGCCCGGCTCCTGGGGAACGTCCCGCGTAAGCGCTGCCGGAAGGGAGGGGGTTCAGCGGCCCGGCTGCCTGCGGCATCTGCGTTAGCACTTGAGGCCGAGTGGGGAGCTGCCAGCGCGGTGAGTGGGGCCGCGGCTCTGCCCGTCCTGCGGGCGCTGCAGGGGGAGCGAGGCGCCTCTCCGGGGTCCCAGCGCGTGGGTGTCCGGGGGCTCGCGCCGCTTTGCCGCTAGCGCCAGCCGGCGCCTTCGCTCGTGTCGCTCCCCTCGGCTGCTGTGCTGTGCTGGCGGGAGGGCGCTGGCCCAGGCCGGGAGAAGAGGCTGGGGCTGCAGGAAGGAAGCCGGCCCAGCGCTGCCCGGAGTGCGGGGCACCCGCCGGGGAGGGATCTTGGCGACGAGTCGCTTTTTAATGCGGATTAGTGGCCCTGAGTTGTGTGTCTAGACGGGCTGAGAGGCGGCTGCCCCCCAAGGTGTGTGTGATGAGTTGCTCGGGGAGCGCGAGTTCTAACCGTGGGCTCTTTGTTGAGGGGTTAGCCGGCGTTTCTTGCACTGCAGAGTTGGAGGCGTTGGTCTGGCAAAACAAGTCTTGAGGTTCGCAAAAAGAAAAGGAGTACTTGTGGCACCTTAGAGACTAACCAATTTATTTGAGCATGAGTTTTCGTGAGCTACAGCTCACTTCATCAGATGTTTACCGTGGAAACTGCAGCAGACTTTATATACACACAGAGAATATGAAACAATACCTCCTCCCACCCCACTGTCCTGCTGGTAATAGCTTATCTAAAGTGATCAACAGGTGGGCCATTTCCAGCACAAACCCAGGTTTTCTCACCCTCCACCCCCCCACACAAATTCACTCTCCTGCTGGTGCTAGCCCATCCAAAGTGACAACTCTTTACATAATCAAGTCGGGCTATCCCCCCCACCCCCATACACACACAAACTCACTCTCCTGCTGGTAATAGCTCATCTAAACTGACCACTCTCCAAGTTTAAATCCAAGTTAAACCAGAACATCTGGGGGGGGGGGGTAGGAAAAAACAAGAGGAAACAGGCTACCTTGCATAATGACTTAGCCACTCCCAGTCTCTATTTAAGCCTAAATTAATAGTATCCAATTTGCAAATGAATTCCAATTCAGCAGTTTCTCGCTGGAGTCTGGATTTGAAGTTTTTTTGTTTTAAGATAGCGACCTTCATGTCTGTGATTCAAGAATTATAACATTCATAAACCAGTCGGAGAACACTTCAATCTCTCTGGTCACGCAATCACAGACATGAAGGTCGCTATCTTAAAACAAAAAAACTTCAAATCCAGACTCCAGCGAGAAACTGCTGAATTGGAATTCATTTGCAAATTGGATATTATTAATTTAGGCTTAAATAGAGACTGGGAGTGGCTAAGTCATTATGCAAGGTAGCCTGTTTCCTCTTGTTTTTTCCCTACCCCCCCCCCCCAGATGTTCTGGTTTAACTTGGATTTAAACTTGGAGAGTGGTCAGTTTAGATGAACTATTACCAGCAGGAGAGTGAGTTTGTGTGTGTATGGGGGTGGGGGGGATAGCCCGACTTGACTATGTAAAGAGTTGTCACTTTGGATGGGCTAGCACCAGCAGGAGAGTGAATTTGTGTGGGGGGGTGGAGGGTGAGAAAACCTGGGTTTGTGCTGGAAATGGCCCACCTGTTGATCACTTTAGATAAGCTATTACCAGCAGGACAGTGGGGTGGGAGGAGGTATTGTTTCATATTCTCTGTGTGTATATAAAGTCTGCTGCAGTTTCCACGGTAAACATCTGATGAAGTGAGCTGTAGCTCACGAAAACTCATGCTCAAATAAATTGGTTAGTCTCTAAGGTGCCACAAGTACTCCTTTTCTTTTTGCGAATACAGACTAACACGGCTGTTCCTCTGAAACAAGTCTTGAGGTTGGCAGCTTGTGTTTTTGAAAGGGAGGGGTAAGGTGGGGGATGAGAGGCCGGGAAGGGTTCCGTGGGAGAGGATTCTGGTGGCTACATTTTAACTACTTGATACCAGTAAAGGTAGGAGATCTTCGTTTCTACAGTCTTATCACCCCTGGAGAAATTCCCAGTTCTTTGCAGCTGTCTAACTCCTGCAATGCTTGTATAGTGCCTTACAGCTGGGCAGAAAATCTCCCAGCAATTGCATGCATGCAATGTCAGGATTGCATTTAGCGGGTCTAAAGACCTGTTGCGCCTGAACTATTTAAGTGTCAGGTAGAACGGGAACTAGCTCACCTGGTTCCAGTAGTCCTCTCTACCGTGGCCCAGGACAGCATTCCAAAATATCTCAAAATCCACTTTTTCTGGAGCTAGTGCTAAGAACCCTGGATTAGGTAATTAGAGTACAATGCAGTTGGGATTGAGGAAGAAGCACTGGTGTTCTACAAGTGGGGCAAAAGGTGCTGTGCTTTTTAACCAATATTGGCATAGCCATCTTGGATGCAGTTGAACCAGTTTATGCGTAATGTACTTCTGTCCAGCTCCTTCAGCTACCAACTCTCTAATTCTCTGGTGTATGCATAATCTAATTAACTGGCTGGGACTCACCTAAATTTAGTGTTCACAGCTCTTATGTGCTGATGCTATGTGTATTTGGGGAACTAAATGATTAACCTGATTTCAAAGGTGGCAAACGTAGGAAGCTTGCAGTTAATGTAAACATTTGTGCTGGAGGAAATACCTATTTCAAACTGCTAAATTAGTCTAGTGAACATCAAAAAACCTATGTGACTATGGTAGAAATCACTCTTCTTAGGTTCTTGTATATATCTATTCCATACAAGCCAAAATATATGTTTGCTTCTGTAAATGATGTGACATCAGAAACCTCCATTAAGGTTACAAAATTTAAATACCACATTCTTTAAAAAAAACCATAAAAACACCACCCTGCTATCTTTCTACCACATTATAAAAGCGAAGATCATCCATCTGATTCTTGGAGAATTGAAAGCTATGCTTATCAAAAGTTTTGTGTAAAAAAAAAAAAAAAAAAAAAAAAATACAATTTGTGTTCAGTGGAGTTAATGGAACAGAAAAATGAGTAATTGAGAAACAACAACAGAGGTTTTCTCTTTCATGTTCAATGAACGAAATATTTATGGTACACAATTTTGCAACATTCCAAGTCTTCTCACATTGTTTTTATTTTAAAAGTAAACTAAATGTAATTATGTTACTCATTTCCTGGCTCATAATACCCAGTCAGAAGCTTAAACTTGTTTCCCTAATTTCTGCCGTGTTCTTTTTGGCAATCCATATTTCCACATGAAAGTTCTGAATGGGTCTGGAAAAAGTGAGACTTAATGTCTTGGTTTAAATGACATTTTCTGAAATGACTTGCTCTGTTTCAGTAGCCATCTAATGCCTTCCAAGGAAAGTAACTGCTTGTGCCTTCATGAAAATATGGCAGTAGTAGTAATCTGAGAGCACCAACTCGCTAAATTTTACTGAACTTTGCTCAAAGAATCAAGAATCCAAGTAGTTTTATCAGTCGCTATTTGTGTACCACTATTGTCTGTATACATAGCAGTGTACAATAAATGAAGTACTTTATTTTTTTTTGGCCAGGGGGCATGGTTATGTAGGACTCTGGAAAGCTTTGTATTTTGGGTACACCAACGTCATGGTCCAATTTCTCAAAGGAACCTCTACCTAGTTTCTAATATACATGCAGTCTGGAACTAAGGTAAATTATATGCACTTGCCACACAAATGAGGAGTGTCCCAAATTTAAAAACATATTCTTAGTACTGAAAGTTGAACTCTGGACCCCAGTACGCTGAACCTTCACCTGAGGAAGGTAAAACAGTATTTGGACTGCATTTTTGGTTAACACACAAGTAGACCTTTTAATTTTAAGGAAGGGTTTTGTTTGGTTATACATTGTAAAGGGTACAAACAGTTTTTACATTGTAGCTCATCTGCAAAAAGCCAGCAGAGATGATAAAGTTGTAGAAGTTGCAATGTTTTCTTGGATCACGCACATCGAGCAAGGGTTCAGCGCCACATAGACTCGGAAACCTATTGAAGCAGAAAGAGGGCTGTGGATAGTGCATGGCTAATAAACAAAAAGTTACAAATACAAAAAACAATTTCATCTCTTTTTAAGAAGATGACAGAGTTCTGAGACCCGTCATTTAGCTAGAATGGCACTTGTGGATGCATTTGCAAGTGCTAATATACCGTTGAAAAAACTTGATCACCCAAAGCTGCATGAGTTCATTTAGTGGAATGTACAAAATGCCGGTTGCTTACCAACTATAACTAAGCTACGACAGAACTACCTTTCACAGGTTTTTGCTACACATTTGAGTAGATGAAGTCTCAAATTAACTCATGTGAGTCTTTCGCAATGATTTTGGATGATACAAGACAACTAAGTACTGCATGTTCTGTTTGATTTTATTTCTGATAGGGCCAAAGATGTACAGACAGGAAAGTTAAGAACAGTTCTCACCAATTGCATTTACTTGGAGGCTGTTAACTACACTACAGTTTCTCAAACGATAATTAAAATCATTTCAAAATATGGTGCAAACTTTGACAAAGTATCTGCTTTCATAAGTCACAATGCAACTTGCAAGATAAAATCTCTCAAATCTGTTCTCCAAGGTGTAATGCCAAATGCTGTCCATATTACATGTAATGCACATATAATTTCTCTTGTCAATGAACTGTGGAGATGCAAGTTCAGTAAAGTTGATAAACTGGTCAGCTACGTTAAAGAGATCTTTAAAACACTGCCCTAGCTGCAAACTTCAATACAGGCAGCACATTGCAAACATGACTGAAATCAGGGAACAAACTATTGCAATTCCCCCAGAGCCACTAATTACTCTCTGGAATTCCGGGTTTAGGGCTGTACAATGCCACGCAGTTCACCTGAAGTACTACTCTGAGTTCCTCTCAGAAGAGCTGACAATGAAAATGCAGGTTTTAACAGAACTTTCAACCCTTCTAAACAATGTTCAGCTGAATGAGAAAGTTCAGTTCATTGCCAAGAATGCCACAGCAATGGTTGGTTTAATCACTTGGTTCAAAAGTCAACATGTCGCAATCCACCAAACATACAGCAAAGGAATGGATGTACTGTTCTGGGCTGAAGTGCAGCCAAACGAAAATCACTTGGACAATGCTGAGTTAAATGTCAGTGCTCAGCAGGTATTTTCTTGCATGGCAAAGAAGCTCAGACAATACTACTGCTACGGGGAAGAGTCAAGCAATGCAGCAAAAATGGCTCAAAAGTTTCAACAACCTGCAGCAGGGTTCCTAAAAGCTGAGCATATATTTGACCCTGTGTCATGGAGTCCCCGGGCAATGGTCTGGAACTGCTCCCTACGAAGCCAGTCAGGACTCTGGGGGAGTCTCCTTTCTGTGAACAGACTGTCTTCAGGACACACAGCTCACACAACTTCCATCTTCCTGGGTCTGAACTCGGCGCATTCAGCATCCTCTGCCCCTCCGTGCGCTTCCCACAGCGAGTCCGCCCAGGCGGGGTCCTGGGGAAGCCAGAGGGTCCTGCACCCCAACTTCGCAGTGAGACGTGACTCTCAGCCAGCCAGTAAAACAGAAGGTTTATTAGACGACAGGAACATGGTCTAAAACAGAGCTTGCAGGTACAGAGAACAGGATTCCACAGCTGGGTCCATTTTGGGGAGCAGTGAGCCAGACAACCCCGTCTGCACTTCACTCCATGTCCCCAGCCAGTCCCAAACTGAAACTCTCTCCAGCCCCTCCTCCTCTAGTCTTTGTCCCTTTCCCAGGCCAGGAGGTCACCTGATTCCTTTGTTCTCCAACCCTTTAGCTCTCACCTTGCAGGGAGGAAGGGCCCAGGCCATCAGTTGCCAGGAAACAGTGTGTTGGCCATTCTCTGTGTGCAGGGGTCTGGACACAACCTTCCCTCTAGGGCTCTGCAACGATCATACACCCTTATCCCACCACCTAGATACTTAAGAACTGCATAGGGGAAACTGAGGCACCCCCTCAATATTCAGAGGAAACATTAAGAACAGTCCCGCTTCGTCACACCCTGCACAAATGCACCTGTTGATGGATTTAACCTTGCTTACTACAATTCCTGGCTTTGACAAGTATTATAGGCTGGAGATTCCTGCTTACAAAAATATTGCGAAAGAAGTGGACTGTAGTTTGGAACTCAGTGGAAGGCAGAATCCCCCACCTCGCAAGGCTAGCTTGGCACTGTCTGACAATTCCAGTGAACTCTGTGGATGCAGAGAGAGCCGTGTCTAAACATGGACAGGTGTTTCAGCACAGTGACCGGGAATGAAGAAAGACACAGTTGCTGAATGCTCCATTGATGACATTAGAAACCAGAACTACTACTTTTTTTTTTTTTTCCATTTGCTTTTGTTAACTTAAGACAGTGGCTCTCAAGTTTGAGGCTGCCAATTGAGATCGCTACCCTACAAAACTGTCTCAAATGCCCATATCTACCAATCAGGCAGTTGGGCCATGAGTGTTATTTGCTGCTGTAAAGTGTCAATCAATTAATCCTGTCAAGTTCACATGACCTTTCTTTATTTTAATTGAAACAAGCTAATAATTGCATCTGGGAGGATGGGGCACACACACACTGCACTGTGACCTCCGCCCCGCAGCTGCAGATCTCTCAGGGCAGAAAGTGGGTGTGGGATGCAGAACTTTCTGTAACCAGGAAAGGTAGCAAGAGCAGCTGTGCAGAGAAAAAGGAAGTCCTGTCCCTCCCCAACCTGGTCAGGGCCAGTTGCCCCTTGCTGGGGCACTCCCAGCAGGATAGGGGGAGATCAGACCCACCTCCGGGAACCTTCTGCAGCTGCAGGAAGCTCTGCAGCTGCTGCCTTCAGAGCCCAGCTTCAAAGGCAACACAGAAGTGAGGATAGCAATCCCCCGACCCCCCCCCTACAACAGGTTTGCAACCCCCACGTGCTCTGTGTTGGGTCGGGACCCCCACAGTTACAACACTGTGAAATTTCAGATTTAAAGATCTGAAAATATGAAATTTGCCAATTTTCAAATCCTATGGCCATTAAATTGACCAGAATGGATCATGAATTTGGTAGGGCCCTACCTATTATTCTTTAATAGTTTCCACTGTTATATTATTCATAGAGGGGATATATTTAGCAATATTTTTTTAAACTCTAAAATATTTGAAGTTTCACTGTTGCTGGTTTGTTCTAAATGGTAAATATTCATCATTGGCAGGTATCTGAAAAATATTCTCCAAGATGAACTTCTTCCTGGAAACACTCAAAGTCCTGGTGCTCTCAATATATTTCCTGTTGGAATCTCTAGTGTTGTTGTTTGTTCCTGTGCGAAAGAAGAATGTTGCTGGTGAAATAGTACTTATAACAGGAGCCGGAAGTGGAATTGGAAGACTTCTAGCATTAAAATTTGCCCGCCTTGGAGTCACCCTTGTTCTCTGGGACATTAATCAAGAAGGTAACAAGGAAACAAGTAAACTAGCTAGAGAAAATGGAGCCGTGAGAGTGCATGCATACTTGTGTGACTGCAGCAAAAGGCAAGAGATCTACAGAGTGGCAGATCAGGTAAAATATTACATGTTCATGTTTGGTGGTTTTTTTTTTTTTTAGCAGCCCATAAAATACTATCTTATCATAAAGCACTGATCTCTTACCTAGATGTTGTTGAACAGAGGTCATGGATCCAGAGCTCAGTCACTCATTCCATATTAATCCAGTGCTGTCTACATTACCTATCTTTACACACTTCAGTTTCTAGCATCAGCTTGTTCAAGCCCCTCTGCTTCTGCCAAAAGTGGGAGAAACACTTAAGCATTGTCCTTTTTAATAAAATTATCTACTACAAAGTGGACCCTAACTCAAATAGATTAGCTCTTCACCAACTAGTTCACTTATTGAACATGAAGTGTAATTAATATACTGACTTAAGTTAAAGCAACAATTAATGCTTGAACTACTGCAAAGAATGAGCCTTAGAAGTAGCAATATCTTTTGAAATGGACTAACAGTTTATACAAATTTAGAATAACGTGTGAGATTAAACCCTGGATTTGTGCTGGAAATGGCCCACCTTGATTATCATACACATTGTAAGGAGAAAAGGAGTACTTGTGGCACCTTAGAGACTAACCAATTTATTTGAGCATGAGCTTTCGTGAGCTACAGCTCACTTCATCGGATGCATACCGTGGAAACTGCAGCAGACTTTATATACACACAGAGAATATGAAACAATACCTCCTCCCACCCCACTGTCCTGCTGGTAATAGCTTATCTAAAGTGATCATCAGGTTGGGCCATTTCCAGCACAAATCCAGGTTTTCTCACCCTCCACCCCCCCACACAAATTCACTCTCCTGCTGGTGATAGCCCATCCATTGTAAGGAGAATGATCACTTTAGATAAGCTATTACCAGCAGGAGAGTGGGGTGGGGGGAGAGAACCTTTTGTAGTGGTGAACACCCATTTTTTCATGGTTGTATGTATAAAAGCATCTTCTGTATTTTCCACAGTATGCATCCGATGAAGTGAGCTGTAGCTCACGAAAGCTTATGCTCAAATAAATTGGTTAGTCTGTAAGGTGCCACAAGTACTCCTTTTTTTTTTTTTTTTTTTTTTTGAGATTTTCAAGGACTTCATAGATATGCTTTGATCAAATATATCAGAGGCTTAAATATTGCAGTCTTTCCCTCCTAAAGAGAATTCGTTCCTACAAAGCAAGTACACTGTCAGCAATTACATGTAGAGTTGGTACCAATGCCGAGAGTTAAGATTGCTTAACATCCTTTCCATTATAAAAACCTGTTTTCTGCTGCTTAAAATGCTGTTAAACCTGCCTTCTGGGCTGAAAATTCTGAGTCTGCTTCAGGCTAAATTTTTTGAAAGTTTCAGCTAAAATAGTTCAGCTCTTTCTGGGAACGAAGAGGGAACTAATTGTTTTATCCATGTTAAACTTTTTTAAAAAGTTGATTTGAGAAGCTCTAGCACCTGTGGGACTCAGTTTGGCAAGAAGGTTGGCTACATGTTGAGGTTTTTTTTTTTTTTTTTTTTTTTTGTGGTTGGTGAAAATCTGTCCAAACTTGGCTAAGTTATAAGCCTCTACCAGTTGGAAGCCTCCATATGATAAGTAGAGGCTCCTTTGAGGCCACCAGTATTACTTTCAGAAGAGCCTGTTTGCAACGAGCATGCTTCTTTATCTCGTAGCTCCTACATGTTGGCTGAACTGCACTTCGGCTGTGCCTGCAGAGTAGCTAAATATCCTTCACCCTAGGGCTTCAGGGACTGAGCAGGGTTCTTCCTGTAACTGATCCTCCTGGATGCTGGGGGCTACTGTGGCACCAGAACTAAGAACAGGAAGACTCCTTTGATCTCATTGTCTCCATTGTACACAGGTAGCATGGAGAGGGAGGTGACAGCCTGACTTAAGAACATAAGAATGACCACACTGGGTCAGACCAAAGGTCCAGTATCCTGTCTTCTGACAGTGGCCAATGTCAGGTGCTTCAGAGGGAATGAATAGATCAGGGCAATTATCGAATGATCCATTCCCTGTCATCCTGTCCCAGCATCTGGCAGTCAAAGACTTAGGGACATCCAGAGCATGGGGTTGCATCCCTGACCATCTTGGGTAAAAGTCATTGGTGAAGAGATCCTCCATGAACGTATTCACTTTTTTTTTTTTAAAACCCAGTTACACTTTTGGCCTTCACAACATCCCCTGGCAACAAGTTCTCCAGGTTGACACCTCTTTGTGTGAACAAATACTTCCTTTTATTTGTCTTAAATCTGCTGCCTATTTCATCCGTTTCTGCAGATGGGAACCCTCTAGGACAGCAGTTCTCAAACTGTGGGTCGGGACCCCAAAGTGGGTCGCTACCCCATTTTAATGAGGTTGCCACGGCTGACTGAGACTTGCTGGGGCTCGGGGCTGAAGTCCGAGCCCCACCATCTGGGGTCCGACCTGAAGCCTGAGAGATTCAGCCCTGGGCAGCAGGGCTCAGGTTACAGGCCCCCGGCTGAGGTTGAAGCCCTTGGGCTTCAGCTTTGATCCCTTCCCCACCCAGGGAAGTGAGGCTCGGGCTTTGGCTCCGGCTCCCCCACCCGGGGCAGGGAGAATCAGGTGGACTCAAGCTTCGGTCCCCCCTCCTGGGGTCATGTAGTAATTTTTGTTGTCAGAAGGGGGTTGCAGTGCAATGAAGTTTGAGAACCCCTGCAGTAGGAAGCGGTGAAACTGCCAAGATTCAGTTCTGCTTCAGCTTGACTGCTAATGAAGAACACTAGAAAGGCTTCTCTCCTATGAGCAACAGCACAAAGGATACAATCCACCCCTACCTTGGGAACCAGAAAAAAAACAGCTGTGGCAGTATAAAGACTGAAACTTCAGGGCCTTTTATGATCTCTCCTTGCAGAAATCACACAAAGGGAAGGCTGACTATTAAAGCAGCTATAGCTTTAAACAGTCCTCTCTCCACCAATGAAGTACCCAACAGGGGAGCAGGGCCCACCCAGTAGAAAGTAGAGTAGGGCCATCCCCTGCTGCTAAGAATCAGGTTTGAAACTCTGACTCAGAAAACAACCCACTCCACCTGCATTATCTCCTACTGTTCTGGCCCTCCCAACCCAAGAGGAAGCAGAGCGAGGTCCGTATTTCATTGCTGGGTACCAGAATTACATCTGTTGACAGGCTACTTTAAGACCAACCTTCTTCCAACAGTCTAATGCCTGTGCTTATTTTAAAAAATAGGGTTCCAAGTCCAGCCAACTAGGCTGAACAGGCGGTCGCGCAGCTTACAGGGAACGCTGTGCTGTTGCTGTGTAATGGGTGTCTCAGACTTGCTGTACTGTAGGCATCTGACACCATTTAAAATTTTTTTTTTTTTTTTAACGAAAAGCTCTTTAACTGAATTCTCTGAGGCATTAAGGAGCCTTGCTGCTGCTTCCTGTGAATCTGTCACTCCACTAGACTTCTGCCAGTGCCAGTTAGAACCACTTCTCTGCATTCCTCCCCAATACAAGGCATAAATAGGAAGGAATAACTGAGAAAATGGAAGCATGCATCCAGAAAAACGATTAACTGGTCAGATGAAGTGTGGTACAAACACCCTGGACCACAGCCTCATGCTGATCAGTGTAAGATCTGTAATCAATAAGTCCTTCACCATTCGCTGTTGACATATTACCTTACTTGGTCTAGCGGTCCCAGAAACCAACAGGTCCTGCAAAGTCAGCTCACCTCATCTCTTTGCTTCCCCCCATCTACTTGCCACACACCCAGAAAGGATGAGTCTGAAATGGAGTGGCCATTTTTATACCTGAGAGAAAGGACCAAGGCTTTCTTCATCCTACTCCACAAAAGAACAAAAAAGCAAACCAAGGATGGCTTGTGTCAGCTGGGTTAAACAAACTGACATTAACTTTTTAAAGGTTTCAGAGTAGCAGCCGTGTTAGTCTATCCTCAAAAAGAAAAGGAGGACTTGTGACACCTTAGAGACTAACAAATTTATTTGAGCATAAGCTTTCGTGAGAAGAGCCATCTGTAAACAAGGTGGTCAATTTGCCAATTTTTCTTTGCTTTCTGACTGTTATCTGACACTCTTCTTGGGCAGGGAAGAGATCACCAAATAATCAGAAACCAAGCGCAGGGCCAAACACACAGCACCCTCTTTCCAAGAACTTGGTCTATTCACACAAGTAGTAGTTGGGGTCATAACCTGTGACTCTGACCCCTGCCCTTTTGGTGTGGTTAAAAACATAATAGTGACCTACTAAATGGGACTGACACCTCCTTTGTGGGGAAGCTGCTACTTGCCTTAAAATATCCTTTAGTCCAGGGTGGCCAACCTGTGGCTTCGGAGCCACATGCGGCTCTTCAGACGTTAATATGCGGCTCCTTGTATAAGCACCGACTCTGGGGCTGGAGCTATAGGCACCAACTTTCCAGTGTGCCATTGGGTGCTCACTGCTCAACCCCTGGCCAGTGTTCCCTCTAATTTTTTAAAGGCCCTGTGTGCAAAAAAATTTCTTCTGTGCAAATTTTTGTGCGTGCGGTGTTTAGGATCTGTGTGCACGCGCACAGCTTAGAGGGAACAGTGCCCCTGGCTCTGTCACGGGCCCTGCCTCCACTCCACCCCTTCCCGCCCTCTCCCCTGAGCCTGTCATGCCCTCGTTCCTCCCCACTCCCTCCCAGAGCCTCCTGCACCCAACGAAACAGCTGATCGGGGGGGAGGGGTGCTGATCGGTGGGGCTGTTGGTGGGTGGGAGGTGCTGGGAGTGGGTTGTGGGGAGCTGATGGAGGGCTGCTGACGTATTATTGTGGCCGTTTGGCAAGGTACATTGGTAAATTCTGGTTCCTTCTCAGCTCAGGTTGGCTTTAGTCTGACCAGTTTGAAAGAAGCCATTGTTTGATGTTAAAGACTTCTCAAACTGCTGCCCCGTTACCCAGTATCTAACCTTCCTGTTCTACAGGGTTGCCTAAAAATACAAGTTGTACTACTTTAACCATACTGGTATGGTCGATGTAGTTATACTGCTACAAAGTGTTGTATGCTGTGTCAAAGGGTGTGCCT